TATGTTGTACACGTGCTCATAGAACAGAGGGTGGAAAGAAACTCAGAGTCTTGTAGCCAGAAGGGGCGGGCTCCTGAGAGTTCCGTCTTCCGGGTTCGTCTCCACGTTTTTCAAGTCTGCTCTCATGAACGCTTGTCTCTGCACTAAGAAAGATGTTAACATTATTTAACGTGGAAGTTTGAGTGGCTTTCTGTTGTGTGAACTCACCGTGTCATGCTTGTCGCTTATGCACACAGCTGGTTTTGGTTCCAGAGCACCCTGAGTGGGGGTTGAGGGGTGCAGGGAGGGGCCTGGTGGGGTCCACAGTGCAGCCAGACCTCCAGGGTGTGTGTGCGGGGGACCTGGGGGCCGTGTGTCTGTAAGGCGGGAGGGTGGCCCCTGCAGGGGCCCTTCCCTGACAGCTCCCAGAGCTGGCCTTGCGCCGGCAGAGGGATGATGGCTCAGACGGCCTCCTGGTCCCGCCTGGGGCCCGGGTGCTGGGAGTCCCAGGCCGGGTGCTGCTGTTGTGAACACAGTTGCTTTTCCGTGATCTTTTATCTAAAGTTTGTTTTAGTTACATTTTGAGACCGTTGTGTTTCCTTGCCTTTGAGTGGCACTGCAGAGTCATCTGTTAGAAATGAGCATTATGACCAGAGTTTATGAGATCCAGAGAGTGTGATGATGTCATGACTATGTGGCATATTCTCCCAGGTGTCACGGGCATGCCTGACTCCACTTCTGTTGGAATCAGTGGCTGTATGCGTGTTACCCAGGGAAACTGCCACGCCTTCTGGAGCTGCCACCCGTAGAGCTGCTGGCTGGCGCCGCCCGTGGCCCCCGTGCCTGGAACAGCTGTCCTGGTTTTCTCTTTCCCGGGTCTGTTCCCACCGGAGACGTTGCTGATGCTGCCGAGAGGTCTCGTCACTGCGAGAGTCCCACGTCACTTCTTGGCAGGAGTTTTGCTTCTGTCCTCAGCTTTCCCCACCCTATCGGCACATTGCATGGCCCAGTCTGTTTTTTTTTAGACTTTTGTGTCCAAAAGACCACTGTTACTTGACTGGCATATTAATCACATTGCTTTTCTTGAATGTTATTTAGATATTCCTTTGAATTTCTGTGAACATCATTTTTTAAGCAAATAAGCAAGTATTCGATAAAGTGTAGGCATCAGCTGCCCCATTAGCGAGTTTGAAATTGGGATGTCCAGCTGTGGAAACTGCGGGGCTTGCTGGGCTGCCCTGCTCCCTTGAGTCCCTGTGATGAAGGAGTGGCGTCTCTGGATGGTGCCTGAGTGAACTGGTGAGTGAGTGGCTGGGTGTGTCACCAGGTCCCCTCTTTTGGGGTCCTCAGCGCAAGCATGGGCCAGGGTTGATGACCATGCAACCCCCTTGAGCTGCCGTGTGGCCCGAGCCTGTCCTGGGCGTGGTGCAGACTTCTCAGGGCGTAGGCATCAGTTCTGGCTGCCAGCCTGCCAGGCCTTTCTCTCCTCAGTGCTTTCACAAGCTCCCAGGTTTTAGAGATTTCAAAACAGTGAGTTATTTGCAGCAGCTGTGTTTTGTTTTGTTTTGAAAATATGGCTTATTGTCTTTCAGTTCAGTTTAGTCGCTCAGTCGTGTCCGACTCTGTGATCCCATGGACTGCAGCACGCCAGGCTTCCCTGTCCATCACCAACTCCCAAAGCTTGCTCATACTCATGTCCATCGAGTTGGTGATGCCATCCAACCATCTCATCCTCTGTCATCCCCTTCTCCTCCTGCCTTCAGTCTTTCCCAGCATCAGGGTCTTTTCCAGTGAGTCAGTTCTTTGCATCAGGTGGCCAAAGTATTGGAGCTTCAGCAGCTTTAGCATCAGTCTTTCCAATGAATATTCAGGACTGATTTCCTTTAGGATGGACTAGTTGGATCTCCTTGCAGTCCAAGGGACTCTCAGGAGTCTTCTCCAACACCACAGTTCAGAAGCATCAATTCTTCAGCTCTCAGCTTTCTTTATGGTCCAACTCTCATATCCCTACATGACTACTGAAAAAACCATAGCTTTGACTAGACGGACCTTTGTTGACAAAGTAATGTCTCTGCTTTTTAATAGGCTGTCTAGGTTGGCCATAGCTTTTCTTCCAAGGAGCAAGTGTCTTTTAATTTCATGGCTGCAGTCACCATCTGCAGTGATTTGGGAGAAAATAACTCCCCAAAATAACAAGAAAATAAAGTCTCTCACTGTTTCCATTGTTTCCCCATCTGTTTGCCATGAAGTGATGGGACTGAAAACCATGATCTTAGTTTTCTGAATGTTGAGTTTTAAGCCAAATTTTTCACTCTCCTCTTTCACTTTCATCAAGAGGCTCTTTAGTTCTTCGCTTTCTGCCGTAAGGGTGGTGTCATCTGAGTGTCTGAGTTTATTGGTATTTATTGGTATTTCTCCCAGCAGTCTTGATTCCAGCTTGTGCTTCATCCAGCCTGGTATTTTGCATGATATATCTGCATATAAGTTAAATATGCATTATTGTCTTTATTTTAGTCTTGTTTTAAAATTTGTTGTAAGTTTTAAAGTTTTATTTTATGTTGGAGTATAGCTGATCTACAATATTGTGTTGGTTTCGGGTTTACAGCAGGGTGGTCCAGTTAACGCATATATTCATTCGTCTAGGTTATCACAGAATATTGAGACTCCCTGCACTGTACCGTAGATCCTTGGCAGATTATCCGTTTGAAAAGATTCATTCATTTATCTGGCTGCGCCAGGTCTTAGTTGTAGCATGTAGGCACTTTTAGTTGTGGCATTTGTATTCTTTGGGCTTCCCCCGTGGCTCAGTGGTAAAGAATCTGCCTGACAGTGCAGGAGACAGGTTTGATCCCTGGGTCAGGAAGATCCCCTGGAGGAGGAAATGGCAACCCACCCCAGGATTCTTGCCTGGAGAATCCCCTGGACAGAGGAGCCTGGCTGGCGTGGTCCTTGGGGTTGCAAAGAGTCAGACATGACTGAGCGCATGTATGTACACATTAGAATTCTATAGTTTTGGCATACAGACTCTTCACTTGTGGCATGTGGGGTCTAGTTCCCTGACCAGAGGTTGAACCTGGGCCCCCTGCATTGGGAGCAGAGAGTCTTGGCCACTGGACCACCAGGGAAGTCCCAGTTATCTATGTTATATGTAGCTGTGTGTATATGTTAAACCCAGTCTCCTAAATTACCCTCCCCCACTCCCACCTTCCCCCTTGGTAACTATAGGTTTGTTTTCTAAGTCTCTGAGTCTGTTTCTGTTTTGTCAGTAAGTTCATTTGTATCAATTTTTTAGATTCCATATACAAGTGACATCATATGATACTTGTATTTCTTTGACCAGCTTCACTTAGTGTGATCATCTCTAGGTTCATCCATGTTGCTGCATGTGGCATTATTTTATTCTTTTTCATGGCTGAGTAATATCCTGTTGTATATATGTACCACGTCGTCTTTATCCACTCATCTGTCAGTGGATACTTAGGTTGCTTCCTTGTCTTGCCTGTTGTAAATAGTGATGCAGTGAACATTGGGATGTGTGTATCTTTTCAAAATACAGTTTTCTCTGGATATGTGCTCAGGAGTGGGATAGCAATCCCACTAGATCATATGATAAACTTGTTTTTAGTTGTTTAAGGATCTCTGTTTAGATCTGCCCATTTTTAAATTTTTTGTTTTTTGATATTGAGCTGCATGAGCTGTTTGTGTATTTTAGAGATGATCCTTTGTCGGTTGCATCGTCAGGAGATATTTTCTCCCATTCTGTGGGTTGTCTTCTTGTTTTGCTCATGGCTTCCTTTGCTGCCGCATGGCTCATTTGAAAGGGTTGTCTTGGAAGGCGCTCTCATAATGGGCACACATGCGAGAGGTTTTTCTGGATCGAGAGTTGCAGATGTGACCCCGGGGAAAGGCTGTATTTCCTGATGTGATGATGGGTGCTGAAGGAGCCGGGACCAGCAGCTCCAAAGACTTCTCCGACTTCTACGTTGGTTGGAGCTCCCGTCTGGTTCAGCAGGGAACGCCTGTTGTTGTGATGGCTGGCAGGAGGTTCTTGGCCTTGAGGTTTTCAGCTGCCCTGTGGGGCTGCCCACTAAGCAGGCTCCTTGGGCCACACCCCTGCCCGGCTGAGTCCTTCTTCCGTGGGGTGCCTCGTGCCCATTCTCTGAGAGCCTGGCTTTGGGGCGACGTGTTCATAGGACTCCTTTCAGCCCCCTTGCTAATCCGTCCTGGGAAATTGTGTGAAAGTTGTGTTACTGTTTCTAATGGAATCTAGGATGTAATTGGTGCTGGTTTTTGAAGCTAGAATTAATGCCACACTCCCTGCTAGGATTTGGTTTCCAGTGATGTAGCTGGAGCCCCATGAAGGGTGAGTGGTCCTCCATGTCTTTGTGTCTCTGTGGGTGGGTGGGAGGGGTCCCAGGTCACCATGGACACACGAGGGGTCCTGTTCCTGGAAGGAGTGTCTGGGCTTCGGGCACTCCAGGCCCGGCCCCAGGCATGTGGGTGCTGGGTAGTGCTGTCTCGAGGTCCAGCCTAGTCCCCAGGGATGGGGACCTGATGGGAGAAGAGGCCAGGCTGCCTCCCCCAGAGCCAGTGGCAGGCCTGGGTGGTGACCTGCTCCTGGGCAGGGCTTGGGTCTGAGGCTCCAGATGCAGCCTCTCCTGAGACACCTGCTGCCTTGTGCACTTGGCCACTCCAGGCAGCCCGTGTGGGGAGCACACTTGGCCGCGGGGGCTCTTGCCAGGCCCTGGCTCCCTGGCCTCCGACCTGCAGGCCAGCGCGGGGTGCTGTGGGGTGGACTGGCCGTGAGGAGCTCTGCCTGCCTGGCTGGCGGCTGCTACTTACGCCAGTGAAAGCCCCTCTCCTGTCTCTGTCGTCCTGTCATCACGTCTCTGCTGGCAGGTGTGCTCAGGGCTCAGTGACCGGTTCCTAGCGTCTCCCTTTCCTCCTCAGGGCTGTTGGCTCCCCGTGGAGTCGGGCCCTGGGACGCATTCTTGACACCAGCCCCCTCCCCCGCCCCCCAGGTATGGTCCTCGTGCGGAGCGAGAATGGGCAGCTGCTCATGATCCCTCAGCAGGCCCTGGCTCAGATGCAGGCCCAGGCCCACGCCCAGGCGCAGCCGCAGACTACCATGGCACCGCGCCCGGCCACCCCCACAAGTGCCCCTCCCGTGCAGATCTCCACCGTGCAGGTGAGCACGCGCCCAGCCTGGGGTGGTTGTGGGGGGTAGGATGGCTCAGCTGCCCTGGGAGGAACTCGGGTTTCCTACCTGCACCCCTCCCCCCGCCACCTCCTGTGATACCTCTCCCTCCCCACCCCACCCCACCCCTGAGCCTCTTTTTCTTCCTCTGCAAAGTACAGATCCTGCCACCCTGTAGGACCATGACGGATGGTTAGGACACTTGAGTGCAGGACCCAGTGAGCCCTGAGCCTCGTTAGCTGTTGTGACCAGAGGGGTGCAGAGGAGCTTTGCAGAACTGTGTTAAACAGCACCCCACCACATACAGATGTGTGAGCCTTGGGGGCTGCTCCCCCCACGCCCAGTCTGTGTCCCCCCCAGAGGATCCCCCCATCCTGGTGCCTTTGTCCCTTCTGAGCTGGTTGACTGGTCAGAGACTAACATGGAGACTAGAGGGGTCCTGACAGCTCTGTCGTCCTGTGACTTCAACACACACACACCGAGGTTGTGACTGGAGGACAGGTTCAGTGCCTGGGACTCACCCCTCCCCTAGGTTCTGCCTCCTGGTGCCTTTGTCCCTTCTGAGCTGGTTGACTGGTCAGAGACTAACATGGAGACTAGAGGGGTCCTGACAGCTCTGTCGTCCTGTGACTTCAGCCGCATCCCCCGGAGTTGGTGTGCCTGCACTGTAGACAGAGGGGCCCCTCCCTGAGCCTCCGAAACAGCCCCGAGCAGCTCGCAGGGTCTGTGGAGGTCTGTTCCGTCAAATGGTTGTAAGATGTTCACTTTGAGTGCTGTGTGATTACAGGAAATCAAAGTGTTGCTTTCCCAGATACACGCCTCCCTCGAAGACCATGTGGGAGGCTCTGCTAAGGAGTGTGTTGTAGTTATATGGTGGCAATTAGGGGGTCTCGCTGACTCTGGCTAGCCTGGGGGCCCAGGTGTGCTCTCTGTGCTGAAGGAAGGACCGTGTGGTGTGCTGCCTCTCACTTCCCTCCTTTTAGGCGACAACTTGTTTTTCAGGCACCCGGGACCCCAATTATTGCACGGCAGGTGACCCCAACGACCATAATCAAGCAGGTGTCTCAGGCCCAGACAACGGTACAGCCCAGCACCGCACTGCAGCGCTCGCCCGGGGTTCAGGTGAGATGGGGGCTGGGTGGTGCCCACGATGCCGGGGTCAGGGGTCGGGCCTTATGAGTTTGGGTGCTGGATGCCAGGGTTCGGGATTTGGGGCAGGAGATTCTTTCTCTGCCCACCATTGCAGGGGAAGCCAGGCTTCTCTAAAACTACACAGAGTTTAGCACCAGCAGCACTTTGAGAAGCCTTCTACTGTGCCGGAAGCACAATTAAAAAATGTCACCTACTAACATTTGATGGTGCAGTGTCCCTGAAGCAGAAACGATCTACAGCCCAGAGTGTGTGTGTGTTGCACTGAGGAGGGTGTGTCCTCACTGTGTGTGTGTTACTGTGTGTAGTTCTCACAACACCCTTCCTGATGGACACCAACAGCGCGGTGTGGGGGCTTCTGGCCCTGATCCTGAGTGCAGCCAGCTTGGCTGCCTTGCTTGCCCTGGTCTCCCCGCTCGCCCTGGTCTTGTCCTTGTCTGTCTCTTGGCTCCCGCAGCCGTGACACTGCTTTCAGAGCAGCTGGAGGAGCAGTTGGTCCCAAGTAGACAAGCTTGGTGGTTTCTTCCTGCGATAAGATCTGCACGGCGATGGTGCTTCCTGGGGTTGGGAGTCGTCTGGCCGAGTTCAGCCTGGTTGGAGTGTCTGAGCTTCAGTTGTAGAGAGAGGAGCCTTTTCTGAGAAGGTGGTGAAGCTCATGGTGAGCTTTTGCACCAGGCTTATCAGAACAGGTTCTGTCTGCCATCTCAGTATTGTCCAGGTGGAGGGTGTTTTCATGGGACTAGTGGGGGCACATGTGAGGGGTGCATTTTGGTAAAAGTGAAAACCTCGGAGACCTGGGTGTGCCCATGCTGTTTCTCATTGTCCAGAAGCAGCTCTGCTATGCCTGCTGGTCCATTCTTTTCCTTTTCTCCCTCTGAAGTTTTTTATTTGCCATTTTCTTGTTACAAAAGTAATAAGTGCTTAATGTTACAAGTGAGAGAATTTATCAATGATAAAGAAAGCCCACCATGTCTTCTGACTGACATTCCTCCTGGGAAGCCAGTGTTTACAGCCTGGGGTTGCAGACAGCTTCCTGCCCAGGGGCCCCCCTGTCCCTTTGCCCCCCACCAGCAGCACCATTGGAGCACCTCCTGGAGCGGGCAGGCTCCGGGACCTGCTTTGCTGAGAGCAGCCGCACGCCTCATGCTCAGGGTTATACTGCCCCCTACCTTCCAAAGTCATAAGAAAGTTTGAAAAATTGGAGAAGTCTAGATTTTTAAGTTCAGCTCAGTTGCGTCTGACTCTTTGTGATCCCATGAACCGCAGCATGCCAGGCCATTGGAAGAGTGCCAATTTAAAATAGAGAAGCAGTGAACATTTGCATGATTACTCACATAGGATAGAAATCTCGAGAATTTGACAAGCCCAGTTGTTTGGTGTCTAGTTGTTTGTTTGTTTAAATGTATTTGTTTAGCAAAGTCACCTCTCCCTCCCAGCACCAAATGCGTTGAGCCCCTGCCTGGTTAAAAACCATTTCCATAGCATTTCTGGATGTGACTCGCTTTGGGGGAGCAGAGAAGGGTGTTGTGGCAGCGGAGGGGAGCCCGGGACCCCAGTGAGTCCCAGTGCTGCCCTGTGGGGTGCCTGCCTGTGTGACATACTGGATTTCTTGTCATCAGCCTCTCTGCATGAGCCAGGGGGTGGGCTTTTCAGCTTGTTTCTCTGTTTTCTTTTTTTCCTTTTAATTTCTGAGATGTGACCTGGGTTGTTATGAAAACGTTACTTGTCCTGGCCGCCATGTGACACTCAGGATTGACTCCTGACAGCCAGGTTCCCTCTGGCCGTTGGCTTTGCTTCTGTCAGCTTTTGCTGCAGATGCAAAGTGCTGCTTCCTTGGTGCTCAGGATCGCAGCTCTTGGGGACACAGTCAGCTGTGGGGCTGGCATGGTCCCTCGAGGTGGCGGGTCCTGTGGGGCCTGCCCGTTGTGAGAAGTCTCATGAAGGCCGTCTGTTTACCTCGTGCTTTGGATTCTCGTAGCCTCAGCTTGTTTTGGGTGGCGCTGCTCAGACAACCTCACTTGGGACGGCAACAGCTGTTCAGACGGCGACACCTCAGCGGACGGTCCCAGGGGCCACCACCACCTCGACAGCTGCCACGGTGAGAGCTGCCTCTCGGGAGCCACGGGGCCATGTGTTGGGGTCATGCTGCCCCAGCGTGCATGTGGGGAGCCCTCGGGTCTCCATGGCCCTGTATGTGGCGTGGTCTGAGGGCAGTGGCCTCTGCAGGGTCACAGGGAGGGTCTGGCCTCCTGTACCACCAGGCTTTCAGGCTGTGGGAATGCGTGTGTGATGAAGCCCAGACCAGCCACATTCAGGGACGACGGGGCCCGCACAGCAGTTGTAGCCTGCCAGAGCGGTGGCGTCGTCCTCTTCAAGTTTATTTCCAGCAGTTTTCCTACATGCGGATGAATCTTTAAACCAGTGGGATTGTGCTCCATTTGTGATTTAAAACTTTTTCATGTTTCTTTGCTGAGTGTTTTTCAGTATCTTTCTTTAGTAGCTGTGTCATGATTCTGTTTCTTTTATTGTGTACTTAGGTATCGGTTTTTCTTTATGATAAGCAACATCACAGTGAATGTCTTGTAGATTGTCTTTTTGCATTTATCAGTTACATTTCAGAAAGTAGAATCGCTGGGCTGAGTGAGCTGTGAATTTGATCTGTGCCTTGGGAGCACATGTCTTGGCTTATACTCCCATCATCAGGCGATGAGAATAACTGCATTTTCCTGAAAGACATTTTAGAGAAGAAATATATATTTCTTATATGATACACAGCATCTTAGTTAAACCAAAGGCTATAATAACAGTCTGCTTTGTAAGAGTTTTTCACTTATACCTTCTTAATTTCTATCCAGGAAACTATGGAAAACGTGAAGAAATGTAAAAATTTTTTATCTACGTTAATAAAACTGGCTTCGTCTGGTAAACAGTCTACAGAGACGGCCGCTAATGTGAAAGAACTGGTACAGAATCTGCTGGTAAGAGCCCGCACGCAGGCCCCTGCCTTAGCGCGCAGTACTTGGCTACTTGGCGGGGGGCTGGGGTGGCGGCTGCAGTCTGGGCCCCTCTGCCCTTGCCCTGACACTTTCGTCCCTGACTTCTTGGAACCTCGCAGCTGGACAGCTCTCCCAGCATCTCCTTTTCCACATCAGTCGCTTGGCATGCTGGCCACACAGGAGCGATGTGAATTCACCAAAGAGATGGCGGGTGTTTTAAGGGCTTTCCCTCTCACTCCTCCACATCTTCCATGGAGGATTTTGAGTGACACGGAAGCGGAAGGCAGAGTGAGGAGTGCTTGCTGGCCAGCTGCAGGCTTCGTGGGTCCTGAGTTCTTATCTGGCTTTGCATCCACTGTGCCCGTGTTGCTGCCCACAGCCCCTCCCCAGTCTCAATCCTGGACATAACCTGGGACCTTGGGGATCCTCGCAGCCCCCAGGCTCCTGGAAGCTGAGTCCAGTGTCACCGCAGGGCTTGGTCAGTCGTCAGGTCCACTTTTGGCCGCTGCCTCCGTGTCGCTGTTCACCTGGGGTCCCCTCCTTCCGCTCTTTCCTTGCTCTCGGTCTCTTTGTCCAGGAAACCTGGTGGTTTAACACATGGGCTGATGGCCATTTCTGTCCTGCTGCTGCTGGGTTTGTCGGTGTGGCCCCTCCACTTGCAGCCTCCTTTCCATGCCATGGGCTCGAGCTGGAGGGGAGCCACCCCTGGGCTGGACATGTGGATTTGGGGCTGGAAAGGAGTGAAGTTGCGCTCTCACAACAGAAATGATCACTTCAGACGCGCCTTAAATATTTTCAGGAAACTAAGAGATTGAAAAACAGTGTCACCTCCTGAGAGGAACAAGAACTCCCAGCTTTTTGTTTGTTTCAATTACAGTTTATCTTCTAATGAACATTCGTAGTTGAATACATGCTGTTCTTTCTTCCCACGGCCCCTTGTCTGCGGCCCCTCCTGGGACTGGAAGCACGGGCTCATCTCACCATCTCTCTCGCTTCCCAGAAGAGCCCAGTGCTATCCCCCTGTGCTATGCCCTTCTCAGGGTTCTGGGACCCCCGTCTTGCCCTCTTTGCAGCCCTGACTGCTCCCTCCTTGACTTGGGCCCAGTCAGCCCCGAGCTTGGAGGCTGGTGGGAGGTGACCCCGTGTGAGAGGGTGCAGGTGGGCACCTTGTCTCGTAGGACTCCTGGGTGTGGGCAGAGCCAGCTGGGTCAGTGCTCACGCCTCCAGGGCACCTGTGCTGCCCCGTCCCTGCCCACCTCTGGTCCTCCTGGTCTCATGGCCGCTTGCTGTGGCCCCTCTCATCTGGGCATGCGCTTCTCTCTCTGGCGACCCAGCTGCTCTGGGGTCTCAACGTAGGTGTGGTCTCTCCAGGGAAGGGCGTCCCTGGCCTGCCTTACATTCCGACTTGGTCTCGAGGGTACTTTGAGGCTTGTCTGTCTCCTGGCAGAATGCCTGATGTACAGTGGTAGTAAGAAAACTGAGGAATGGCACAGTGAGCCCATGGCCTGGAGGGAGGAATAACTGTTTGTAAAACTCGAGACCTGGAGAAATACTGCATAAAGATACATGTGTGCAAACTTGTATTCACTGAGGAATTTTAATGTGAATTTTGTCTTCAAGGATGGAAAAATTGAAGCAGAAGATTTCACTAGTAGGTTATACCGAGAGCTTAATTCTTCACCTCAACCTTACCTTGTGCCTTTCCTGAAGGTAATCCGAAGCCCGCTGCGAGCGCCCAGTGTTGGGGGGGGAGGCGGGCTCCTCTGGGAAGGGGTGGATTTGGACAGGTGTCACCCGTGCATTTGCAGCTTTCAAGCCCCTGAGACAGACTGTTAAGTTTTCTGTTCGTAGGCTTTTCTATAAGTTTTGAGACCCCCACTGCTGCGACCACAATGTCGTGTTGCACCTGGGGGTCCAGAAGGGCCCTGTCCTCTTAGAGGGCGGCCCGTGTGCCGGCGGCTGAAGGGGGCCACTCTGCTGGGAGGCGGGTGTCGCTCAGACGCCTCTGCTGCCCTAATGCGCTTTAACCGCCTGTTGGAAATGACGCTGCTGGCTGGTGTTTAAACAGTTCCAGCCAGTTCTCACTGAGGGCCACCCTGCCCAGCGGCAGTGACAGTGCGGGGTGCTGACACTGGGTCCTTTGAAGCCCCACACCGATGCTGGGGCGTATTCTCAGGGTCGTGTGTTTCTGGGTCAGAGGAAGGGGTAGTGCTGCCAGCCGACCCCATGTCTGTCTTTCCGCCCAGAGGAGCTTGCCCGCCTTGAGACAGCTGACCCCCGACTCCGCGGCCTTCATCCAGCAGAGCCAGCAGCAGCCACCGGCTTCGCAGGCCACCACCGCGCTCACCGCCGTGGTGCTCAGTGGCTCGGTCCAGCGCACGGCTGGGAAGACGGCGGCCACCGTGACCAGCGCCCTCCAGCCCCCTGTCATCAGCCTCACGCAGCCCACACAGGTGGGCGTCGGCAAGCAGGGGCAGCCCACGCCGCTGGTATGAAGGCTGAGCCTTGCCCTGCTCTCCACCCGCCCACCTGCCTGCGGCCCAGAGAAACTGGCAGGGGGAGTTTGGGGTGTTAAATCCTGAGTAGTGAACTGTCAGGTTGAGATCAGGGCCCTGCAGGTTCATAGTTTACTTCTCAGTAAAGAAAAGTAAGCCTGTCAGTTTCTACCCTCTGGCATGTCCGTTATCTGTACGACGGTTCAGGGTGTCCCTGGGTTAAGTGGACACAGCGTGTGTGTAGTGCATCTCAGCCGGGCATTGTCTTCCATCAGGAGCCACGGCCCAAACACATGGAGCCAACGTAGGTGCTGAACATTCAGCATGTCAGTTTTCATGGCTTAGGACCCAGCTCCACAGCGTAGTTTGGGGCCTGGGTCTTCCCAGGCATGCAGCTGCTAATGGTGGGTTGGTGTGTGGTTCTGATCCAGGTTCTGGTTGTGCAGTTGTGGAGAAGGTGTCTCTGCTGGGAAGAGTGAGGTTTGGACCTGCTCTGGCAGGCAGGTGGAGTTCGCCAGGCGTAGAAAGTCAGTTGCTGTTTTTTTTTTTCCCCTCCATTTTCAAAGGGGTGTAGTTTCTAAGTGCGTGTGTGTGTTCATTCGTGTTCAGCTTGTTGTGACCCCATGGACTGTAGCCCTCCAGGCTGCTCTGTCGATGGGGATTTTTGGGCAAGAATACTGGAGTGGGTTGCCATTTACTCCTCTAGGGGATCTTCCTGACCTAGGGATCGAACCCTTGTCTCCTGGACTGAAGACAGATTCTTTACCCCTGAATCACCTAGGAAGGTCCTTTGTTCCCACTGTTGTTTATCAGTTGCTCAGTGGTATCCAACTCTCTGCCACTCCATGGATTGCTGCATGCCAGGCTTCTCTGTCCTTCAGCATTTCTCAGAGCTTGCTCAAATTCCTGTCCATTGAGTCAGTGATGCCATTCACTCGTCCTCTGTTGTCCCCTTCTCCTTCTGCCTTCAATCTTTCCCAGCATCAGGGTCTTTTCCAATGAGTCATCTCTTCACATCAGGTGGCCAGAGTATTGGAGCTTCAGCTTCAGCATCAGTCCTTCCAATGAATATTCAGGGTTGATTTTTTTTAGGATGGACTGGTTGGATCTCCTTGCAGTCCAAGGAACTCTCAAGAATCTTCTCCAACACCACAGTTCAAAAGCATCAATTCTTCAGTGCTCACCCTTCTTTATGGTCCAACTCTCACATCTATACACGACTCCTGGAAAAACTAGCTTTGACTATATGGACCTTTGTCGGCAGAGTTTGATGTCTTTGTTTTCTAGTACATTGTCTAGGTTTGTTATAGCTCTTTTCCCCGAGGAGCAAGCTTCTTTTCATTTCATGGCTGTAATCATTATCTGCAGTGATTTTGGAGCCCAAGTAAAGAAAATATGGTGCTGTTTCCACTTTTTCCCCATCTATTGGCCACGAAGTGATGGGACCAGATGCCATGATCTTATATTTTTTGAATGTTTCTATAGACAGTTAAAAAAATTTAGTAAAACAATGCAGGTCTTTGTGTTACTTTTGTAGGTTGTAGAGTGTGTATTTTATGATAATGCCCAAGTGATACTCAGGTGGGTGATCAGAGTCATGAGGGGAGTGCTGGTCTCTCACCTGCTCAAGTTGAAATCTGTGTTTGTTTCTGCCTTCATCGGTGGTGAGGAAGATGGGCTCCACAGAGATGGAGAAGTGTCTGCTGGCCACGGCTGGAGCCGGTGTGCCTTGGGCCAGTGTGCCAGGGTGAGGGCAGGGCTCCCTGCACCCCTCCCCCGGAGGTCCAGCCCCCCTGCCTTGGTCCTGCTTTATTGCAGCAGAAAGACTAGATGCAGCAGACTCAGGCACCGATCATCACCGGCTGTCCTTGAAGCCTGTGGGAACGGGAAACCCTGAGGCTTTTCCCTGAGCTTGTGCCAAAAGGTGGCCTGAACCTCTGGGGAAAGTCGTGCATCTGTTCTCCCGGATGGTGTGAATTTCCACAGGACTTGTTGCAGAGATAACATGGGCCAGGGCACCCCCAGCCCCCTCCTCGAGTACCTGTAGCACAGGGCAAGCCCCCAGGTGACCATTATAGAATTCAGAAGCTGGGTTTTGAGCATCCAGCCTGAGGTTGTGGTGGGTCTGAGGTGGCCCTGGCACCCGTGCTGGCATCTGGGGAGAAGCCACTTGTTCCTGCTGGTTCAGGAGCTCTGTGGACCCTGTCCCCCGGGTGCTGCCTTCAGGGCCCCACGTGCGGCTCTGCTCCAGGAGCTCGAGGTGGTGGTGGAGGCACTGGACGTGGGGCACCATCCAACCTGCCTGGTCTTTTGGGACGGCTGGGACCCTGGGCTGGGGATGGGTGCCGGCAGCCCCCTTGAGGGTGGGGGTGTGTGCTCACGTGCCCTGCGGACTCTCCCCAGGTGATCCAGCCGCCGCCCAAGCCCGGAGCGCTGATCCGGCCGCCGCAGGTGACACTGACGCAGACGCCCATGGTCGCGCTCCGGCAGCCCCACAACCGCATCGTGCTCACCACGCCCCAGCAGATCCAGCTGAACCAGCTGCAGCCAGGTGAGCGCCTGACCCTGTCCGCCTGGTCCTCATCACCGTGGGACTCACAGCTCAAGCTTGGCTGCTTCACGTGGCCTGTCAGCGCCGTTAGTCCCGGTCCCCACCCTGGCAGCATGGTTTTTAGCGGACTGGATTCCTTATCAGCAGTCATTCTTAGACCTCAGAAAGTTTGATGAAATGCAGGAAGATGAGTGCTTGAGAGAGGCTGCCTGCACTTTTCCTGTAGTTTAGAGTTAGTAACATGGTGTTTCTTACGGTTTAGGAAGCTTCCTCATGGCGGGTTGGGGGTAACGGCCTCCCTTGGCCCACCCAGCCCTGGCGTGAGTCCGTGTAGGGGGCACACCCTTCTCTCTTGCTCTGCAGTCCCTGTGGTGAAACCTGCTGTGTTACCTGGAACCAAAGCTCTTTCTACTGTCTCCGCACAAGCTGCTGCTGCACAGAAAAATAAACTCAAGGAGCCCGGGGGAGGCTCGTTTCGGTAAGCAGTGTGCACAAGAGGTGCCAGAGGGAAGGCCACATGGGTACCTGCCTGTGCCCAGGAATGACTGCTCCGTGGCACCTTTTGACGCTGTGTCCCCTCCACACTCAGCTCTGATCTCCGAGCTTGTGTTTTCCCACTAAGCGACTTGAGGAGGATTGCTGCAGACACAGGGTGGGAAATGCAAGCCAGCTGACTCTGCAGGCCAGCAGGAGGTTTGTTTCTGAGACATGACGGCTCAGCCTTCTGAGTGCATCATGGTACTCATAGAGGACGTATCCTGTGTCCTCCCATCAGCCTCAGAGCCTTTAGAGGTGCTGTACTTTGGTCTCTTGACGGGCAGCTGGTCTGAGTGTTGCCCTAGGAATGTCTGCGGTATCTCCTCTGGTTTCAGCCCAGAGGTGGTGAAGTGTGCACGTGTTGGGGCCCATTGGTCCTTCCCTTCCCAGACGCTCCGGCCCCAAAATGGTTAGGCAGCACTGGGAGCCTTCGGGGCCCACATCAGAGCTGGGCTCCAGGCAGGATGAGAAGGTGGGGGCCAGGAAGGATGCTCACGAGGGTGAGGGAGGTTGTGGAGGTGAGAGACATGTCCCCCGGTGGGTCAGAGAGGAAAGGAGGGAGGGCTGCCAGAGGCCATACTTCCTCCTGCAGGTGAGAGAGCCAGATATGCAGAGCAAGTCAACCAGATGGGCCTTGGGTTGGGGTTGGGTCCCGGCTGAACACTCAGGTGACAGCTCTGAGAAAGCCTTGGCTGGGGATGCCCATCTGCCCTGGCGGCCTGGGACCAGTGACACACAACGACAGCAGCACGCCCAGCGCCCTGGTCTTGTTGTCTAGAACCGATTCTTCCACAGTGACCAGGCGCTTCACGAGGCTGCTGGTTCCAGGCGGGATTCAGGAGGATGCAGGATAAGTTAGTGCCTTTCCGGTGGTTAGAAAGCGGTGCTGGAGGGTCAGAGTTTGCAGAGTTCTAACCCTCTTTGAGTTAGAGTCGCCGCCTTTTATTTCCTGAAGGGATGATGATGACATCAATGACGTAGCGTCCATGGCTGGAGTGAACCTGTCAGAAGAAAGCGCGAGAATATTGGCCACAAACTCCGAGTTGGTGGGCACCCTGACACGGTCCTGCAAAGATGAGACCTTCCTACTCCCGGCACCTCTGCAGAGAAGGATATTAGAAATAGGTACAGCCCTGGGATGTCGGGCCCCACGTGTGGGCTTGGTGTGGACCACAACTGTGTGCTCAGTGTGCAGCTGTCCTGGGCTGGGGGGACTCACCTTGTTCCTGGTCACCTGTTTTGCCAGGGCTGTGCTTTCCAGGGGGTTGACAGTGGTGGTCTCAGGGAAGCAGGGGTAGACCCCCCTCCCCTGCGGGCCTGCCTGGGGTGCCCTTGGGTGCACAAAGTCATAACCAGTGAATAAAAGGAAGACAGCGCAGGGAAGAACAGCGCTCCAGTGATGGTAAAGTGCTGCCTGTCCCCAGGGAAGAAACACGGCATCACGGAGTTGCACCCAGACGTGGTGAGTTATGTGTCACATGCCACGCAGCAGAGGCTGCAGAACCTGGTGGAGAAGATATCGGAGACGGCCCAGCAGAAGAACTTCTCTTACAAGGTAACTGCTGTTTCCCTGGGGGACACTCCCTGTTGTCCCTCCCTGGGGGAGGGTGCAGAGGTAGGCAGCCAAGTGTCCAGCCTGTTTGGAGTTTTTCCAGAACTGGATTTGGGGAAGAGGCTACTGCTTTCAGCCCCATGGCACCCTTGGGTGCCGTCCATCTGGCTGGGGAGGAGGATCTGAGAGCCGATCTGCTGGTCCAGGCAGGGGCCTCTTTAGCTCTACAGTGGGTGGAGTCTTCCACCCATTCTCCCCACTCCCCTGCGGTCCTTGGGCCTGAGGCCTGAGCTGTCCCTGCAGCCCTGAGGGGGTCCCGCCCGCCTGTGACTCGGAGCAGCTGTCCGTTTTGTTCTGTGGAGGGCCACTTTTGGGGCACTGTGGAGAGGCCAGGTGCCTGCCGAGCCCTACCAGGCACTGCCTTCAGAGCAGCATTTGGAATGAAAGCATGTAGCTGTTTGTTTAAAAAAATTTTTTTTAATGTTACTATAAAAATTTTAGCTGTCATTTAAAAAAAAATCAAGTGATCTTTGGTCCTGGATTTTGGCACCAAAAAAAAAAATCAAGTGATGCCAAAGTGTGTAAAATGGAAACTTCCCTGTGAGCCCCAAGGAGACTCACTTGCGACGGCATGTGAGCATCCAGAGCACTTACCAGATGTGGAGCTGGGAGGTGGAGGGGGTCGTTGGAGTCTGCGCACCAGCTTGGGGATTGGGCTGAGGGAGGCCGGGAGCGGTACGCCGACTGTCTGGCTGGGCTCTCAAGTTTATGACAAACAGTGTTTTCACTTTTTTGTAGGATGATGACAGATACGAACAGGCAAGTGATGTCCGGGCTCAGCTCAAATTTTTTGAACAGCTTGATCAAATTGAAAAACAGAGAAAAGATGAACAGGAAAGAGAGATCTTGATGCGGGCAGCAAAGGCAAGTGCTTGCGGCTCACTCAGTTTTCCCATCTCCATCCTGAGGGCTCACACACACGCTCGGGGTGTCCGGGGGCCGGAGCGCTCACACACACATTCGGGTATCCAGGAGCCCGAGCGCTCATACTCATGCTTGGGGTGTCTGGGAGCCCGAGCGGTGTTTGAGGGTGACCTCATGACACGGTGCACGAGGCAGGGAGCCTTCGAACAGCAGCGGTCACTCAGTGTGTGGGCAGGTCCCCTAGCTGCGCAGCGCCCTTGGTCTGCCCGTACCCACCAGCCTCATGTCGTATCACATCAGATTCTGCAGTTGGCAGACCCGCCACAGGCCACACCATGGTTCTTCTGTCCAAGTGGTATTGATTTTCTCAAAAATGTTTGTTTTTTGTGATGATATTTGGCTAGATGCATTTTAAAAATTTGATGTTTTCTATTGTAAGACTTAGATTTTGTTATATCATGAATAAGATAACATGTTTGTCAGATGAGAAATGTTTAGGTCATAAATTGTTTTTCTTTTTTACCTGTTTGATAAAATAGTCTCGATCCAGACAAGAAGATCCAGAACAGTTAAGGTTGAAACAGAAGGCAAAGGAGGTAAGCTTTTCTAGTCTGAGAACCTGCACAGCACACTGGAAAGTGTGTTTGCAGTCAGCCTGGGCGCTGATGGGTGAGAGAGGGGCTGAGGAAGTGATGGCGTACCTAAAATGAGCCTCCACATAGCGACTAACACCTCTCCAGGTGTTTGTGCAAACCGTTTGTGTCCTGCTTTTAACGTTTCCTGGTAATTTCTCATTCGGGGCATCCAGTCTCTGTACTCTCAAAGTTTGCTCATGTTTTCTGAGCTTTTTAAAAGATTTTTTTTATTATTGCTTTACTACTTTTATGATTGTAAAATATACTTACTATATATTAAAAAAGTCAAACTGAAAGTTTAATTTAGAAGAATTTGGAAAACCCTTTGGTGTCTGTGTATTACTTTTGTAGTAAGAAAAAAAAAAGTGCATGAAATGACAGTCTCTGTTTGCTTTTCAAAACAAAGATGCAGCAACAAGAACTGGCACAGATGAGGCAGCGAGATGCCAACCTCACAGCACTAGCCGCCATCGGGCCCCGGAAAAAGAGGAAAGTGGACTCCCCGGGACCGGGATCGGGACCAGAGGTACCGCTTGGATGCAGGGACAGGGGCTGGAGGGCCTCGGGCGTCAGCCTCCCGCTCACCCTCCAGGGAGTCGGGCTTTCGCACCATTTACATGTTGTCTCACCGCCCTCAGAATACGTTTTACATTCGATGCTTTATATTCAAATCAACCTATTTGTGGATGTCACTTGAGCCATCCCTTTGCAGGAGGAGGTTTTATCTCTGTAGCTTATACAGTGAGGTTTAGGCTGACTTTGGAGACCATGTGGGGCATTCAGTCAGCAGAGTGACCTTCCTTGAGGTGACTGTCCTCACTGAGTGTGGACGTGAGGTGAGCCCAGATCCCAGCATGAAGGAAAGCTGTGGCCTGGTTCTGTTTGTCCACATTTTGTTAGTTTCCTGTTTTGTTTGCTCTCGTATCTTTATATATAATTACAAACCCTCCTTTAAAGTATCATGATTTTTTCTTTAAACTGCCAGTTGTGAATGTCAGGAAGAAGAGACCATTGTCTTTTATATTTACCTGCTGACTTGCCATCTCTGATGTTTGGTGTTCCTTTCCCGAGTTCCAGGTTTCCATCAGCAGTATTTCTCTTTGGCTTGAAGGACAGCATTTAGTGTTGCTGGTAGTGCAGTCTGCTTGGTGATGGGATCTTTCAGCTTTTGTTTACTTGAAAATGGTTGAATTTCCTCCTTAAAATTTTGAATGAAATTTTCCCTGAATATTCACAGTTTTTTTCTTTCAACTCTGTTTTTTTAAAGTCAGTTTCTCTCACCTTCTTGAATAGGCCAAGCAAATCCAGATCCGTATAACTAAATTTAATAGAATGACAGACGAACAGGGACAAGCAATTCTGAGAATTTTAGCTGCCTTTACATTTTCCCTATCTCCTGAGGCCTGTCTTAGTGCTGGTCTCTCTCTTCTGAGGGAGCTCTTATTCTCATTTAGTTGTGTTGTCTTGCTCCAGCTCACAAAGAAGATGGGAGGTGTCCCAGTGTGCTTTGCAGAATTACAGAGCTCTTATTCTTTCTTAGATGTGAACACAGCCATGAACGTGTGACCATCTGCATCCTGAAAGAAGTTGTTGTATAGTATTCAGTGTTCCACTGTGATTTTGATCCTTGTTTCCTGTTGGTCATGAGTTTCAAGATGACTGTTTCAAGATGACTGTTTCAAGATGACTGTCTTGCTTCTTAGAAGTGTGTTGTCTTTGTTTAGATGTGGTTCTCTTGACCTCTGCTGGGGCTTCTCTGAGCTTCTTGGGTCTGTAGGTCACTGTTTCTCTTCAAATTTGCAGCACTTTGGCCTTTACTTCCTCAAACCTTTCTCTGTTTCAGTCTTTTCCTGTGGGGTTTCCCAGGTATACCTCTCTTGATACTGCCCTGTGGATCTCTGAGTCTGTACCTGTTTTTCTATAATCACTTTCTTTTCTGTTCGAGACTGGATAATCTCTACTGATCTGTCTTCAGATTCTCTGTCATCTTTCCTGTCCAGTGAAGTTTTACTTTGTTGACATATTTGCAGCTCTGGGATTTCTGCCTAGGTCTTTTTCTTTTTTTAAATCATTGCTAATTCTTTGCTGAGATTTCCCTGTCTGCTCCTTATTGAGGCCAGATTTTCCCATCATCCTTGGAACCTCTTTGTAAAAGCTGCTCTGACAGTTCGTCAAATCCAACATCTGGGTCATCTTGACTCGATCTCTGTTGACTGCTCTTCCCCGCACCTGTGGTAACAGCTTCCTGTCTCTGCGCGTCTAGACATTGTCACCTGTACGCTGGACGTTGTGAATGATATATCATCATCCTCTGAAGAGTGTCACTGCTTGTTTAAGTTCAGCAACCAGCTGCTCATCTTGAATGTGTGCTTTGCTTTTGCTTCGGTGTTCAGTGGGGTCTGTGGCGATCTCACCCAGTGGGGCTCAGTCAGCATATTGGCCTTCCCTGTGAGGTCAGGGTGGGTCTTGCATAGGGTATGATCCTTGCTCCTGGGAAAGGCCTTGGCGTCTTGGCTGCACCCCGGGAGTGAGGACGTGGGGCGGGCTGTACTCCTGCAAGGACTGTTAACTTGTGCGTGTTTTGGTTATGTCACACGGCTGTTTCATGGTAATCTTAGTTCCATAAGTAACTTGATGGTTAATACTGACCAGTCTTTGTGGATGTCTGTTTAGTCATTTGGTTTTCCACATCTTATTCTCTGTTGGATTCTTTTGGAATGTTTCCTGGGGGCCGAGTTCCCCAAATTTGTGCGTGTTGACTACAGTTTTGATAGCTATAAAATCTGTGGCTCACATTTTCTTTGCTTGAGACTCTTCCTTGAGTAATAGTTACATTAGATATTTTCCCCTGGTGTAAAAGGTTTGCTGTCTGTCTGATGACTATCTGATTTTATTTCTCTTGTGTTTCATATGTTCTTTCTGTCCGAAGTTGCCCACAAAATTCTTTTCCCTCAAAGCCAAGCATTTTACTTGGAATCGGCTCTTTTTAGGTGGTTGTTCTTGGGGAGAGGTTGTGTTCATTCAACATGCAGTGTTTTTGTATTCGGGAACATTTTCTTTTTTGTTTTTGTTTTCCTCTTCAGAGATTCCTGTTATTCGTATGTTGTATCTTTCATACCTACTGTCAGTATTTGCCTTTTCTCTTCGATCTTTTTAATCTCTCTTTTAAAAAAAAGTTTTATGCTTTTTAACTTTCTTACTGTCTTCTTTCTTCCTTAGTGTCTTATTTGTTTTATTTGCTCCTGTGTTCTTTTTTAGTGTAGTCTTCATTTCTCAGCTGAAATTCTCTTTTGTTTCTAATTTTTCCTTGACTTTGTCAACTCATTTCCAAGTTTTGCCAATTCTGATTTATGTTGTTCTTTCATGCATTTTACCATTTTCTCAGTGTCTCTGCCTGTTTGGAAATAGACATCGTAGTTTTGATCTCTTACTGATTGTGTTTCTGGTGTTTTCCATTATCTCTCTGGGTGGTGTTCTGCTCCTTATTCTCATTTTTCCTTAGGGCAGCTTGTCTGGGGTTCAGCCTTTTCGTGGTTCACTTTTGTGTGAACTGTGTGGTCTTAAACCTTCAGGAGGAGGCAGTGTGAAGATTTGCTGGCTTCACTGAGCTCCTCTTCCATAGTTTCCACGTGGTGTTAGATGTGCTGTCTGTGATTCTCGGCTCTGCCCCTCTCGACTCTTAGCTGGACCTTTTTGTTTCCTCTGTCCTGTCCTGCTCAGCTTCTGTTTCACTCCTCACAGAGTCCCCTCTGTGTGGGCCCTGGCTGGTCACAGGCAGAGCTCCTGGTGGCAAGGCCACAGTCAGAGTACCAGCCCGGTCTAGTGGCTGCTGTCAGGTGAACCTGCCCCCTTCTTGGTGAAGACCCCGAGGGTTTGAGACCTCAAAGCTGCCCAGCAGCTTTTCGTGCATAGTTTTGAGGTGGTCTCCAGGTTTGTGGCTGCTTGCAGCTCGTCTCCACTGGTTTTGTTCTGTGTGTTGCCTGCTGGCGTTTGGTTTTGCTTCCTAGCTGCTCTGGGTTTTCTCAGGCCTTTGGGAAGATTAAAACCTCTGATGCCTTTGGCACCATCTTTCCAGGATGTATTGATTAACATTTTTCAACATATTTTCTTTTAATTTATAATAGTTTCAAACCTTCAGAAACGTTGGAAGAACAGAATGAGAATCTCCATATCCAGATTCTCCATTTTGAACACTTGGCACCTCTATTTCATCACCTCTTCTCTTTATACATGCAATGTGCCTGTGCACTTGTGTATTATACTTGATGTGTATAAAATCTTTTCCCAATGGATATCCCATCACCTCTAAATGCTGATGATGCTGGACGCTCTCTTACATTACTACTGCACCCCCCTCCCCCCCGCAATCAGGACATCACCCTTATGGCCCAGGGTCCCCAGACCTGCTTGCACTTCACCACCTGTCCAGGGCGTGTGCAGTGTCCAGCTGGCACGTGGTGTGAGCCTCTGCCTGATGCCTGCGTTCCTGACAGCGTTAGAGAGGACAGGCTGCTGGTTCTGAAGGGTGATCCTCAGTGTCATTAGGCCGACAGTATTGACTTCTTGCTGCTGGTGACCATAGCCTTGATGACCTGACTGAGTGCTTGGTTAAGAAAGCAGCCTTCCCCACTGTGTAGTTGCCTGGTCCCTTGGTATTCGTTAGTGTTGTGTGAGGAGGGGTCAGGGTCATGCACTGCTCTGTCCCTGTCACCCCTCCCCTGGCCTCAGCACCCACGCATGGCTCCCGCTGCGTCAGGACCTCCAGGCTAGGGGCCAGGCTGTGGCGCTCTGTGTCCATCATGCCCCCACATTTACTGGTTGCCTTCTGCTGTGAAGAAGAGCCTCCCTCCCACCCTCCTCCATCCATCCATCCACTCATCACCGTGTGTGGACACATGGTTCCTGCTGTGTTCAGGGGGTGTAATCAATGCTCTCGTTGTTTCTAGATTGATCAGTGGAAGCTTCTTCAAGCTGGTTCTATATCCTTTTGAAACGTTGCCCTCAACCTGTAAGCATGAGAGGTGTCTGGGTGACTGTGCCTGCCCTGCCCTTGCCCGCGTGGCACCTGGGAGCGTCCCTGCAGTGGAGGGTGATATTTGGAGACCAGTGTCTGAGCACTGTGCGTGCTGGTCGCCACGGGGTCCCTGCCCCAGGCCCCGGAGGCCCCAGCATTCAGAGACTGGAGCGTGTGTCTGTGCACAGTTGTGTGCGTGTGTGCGCCTCTCTGTATCTAGAATGACCCTATGCGTTCCAGTGGATCCTGAAATTCTAGTCTAGGACCTCAGGGCTTCTTCCAGGCTCCTCCCCTTCCTTCCTTCAGAGTCCCTTCACAGGCCGTGAGACATCAAGTTCCCATTCTTCTCAGAATATTTGGTTCTTTTTTGTTTTTGCTCAATGTAACCAATCCCACAACCACTCTGGCTGCTGGGGTCCCTGTGCTGAGAGGGGAGGGCCTAGGGAAAGGGCATATCGATCAAGTTCTGTCTTAGGCATTGAAATATCTACAAAGTAGAGACTGGCGGGGCG